GCACTGTCCAATGGTCAGCCTGCTCGTGATTTTAATGTTTATTTGCTGCTTAATAATCAAAATGATTCCCAACAAAAAAATTTCGGATCAAATGAGGACGTGGGACAAAATTCGAAAAAATCCCAAAAATATTTATAAGAACACGACTGCCAAAAAAATACGTAAAAACATTTTTTAAATTACATTTGAAGTTCCTCAGCAAAAAATTTAAGATGATGCTAAAATTACATAAATTAAATATTACAAAAAAAATGAAACGAATGTTGAGAGGTCCAGAGGCGGAGGGGAGAAGCAATTTTGGTGTCCTGTTTGATGTTCTAAAACACTAATTAGCTGAACTCTTCGGAGCAAATAATGATTGTGATCGTCCTTCGAGAACGATCCGGGGATCAAGCGTGCACAACCGTGATCCGGAGAGTGGATCGGTGAAGGAAAGTTTGAGGAGACTGTTTGAAGGCATTGGATAGCTGGAGCAGCGTGGCCGGTGTAGCGGAAACCGGTACACACTGGGATTTGCTGGCTGCCTGCCTCGACGGCGGTGGATCGAAGCACGACAGAAACGTCAGGATCGTGCTTATCGTGTTAACTGGGTCAGCACCAACCGAAGAAACTCAAGCGCCTATGGAGCCCCCAATTTTTGGTGTTTTCGTTGTAACCCGAACTCAACTTGCGTCAAAAATCACACAATATGAATAAATTTACGAATGTAGCTCAACAGTGACCATCGCATGGAAAAGTAATTTTAAAAATGGACGATCGAAAACAAGGAAAAATAAAGAGTGCCACTATTTTTTGGTCAAATTGCAGGTACCAAGTGTCGAACTGTACAAGAAAAATGTCAAAACAAAGATTTTAACCTTTGTTTTGGAGTGGTTTCAACTCCCACAATCACTTTCTATGAAAGGCGGAGGCACGCGGAAGTAGCCGCTTATCAGCATGTGGTCAGTTTGTTGACAAATGATAGCATGTGTTAAAAACAGCCACCAGTTGACGTTGTTGATGCCTTCCACTTTCAGAAGCTGTTTATAAATAAGTCAATCGCAATGGAAGAAATTGTCAGGCGAGTTGATTGCAGCGTACATTTAGATCCTTGGAGCTTCGGGAGCGAATGCGTGGAACGAAGTGTAAAACGAATATGAAAATGGTGAGTTAAGACGTTTCGGTCCATTAAGTCATATACGTCTTAGCTCAACACCAGGACTGGACCTCGCCAGTATGACGGTTATACATCGTCACGACTGGATCTCGTCAGTATGACGGTCGTTGTGTTCAGGGAGGAGGAAAGGGAAAGAAACGAAGAAGATAAGAAAAGGAAGATAAGAAAAGGACTAACTTGGCCAAGAAAAGAATATGAGCCGCATCCTCAAGCTGGAGGATGCAGCCAAAAATCTGTTCGCTGACAGCGTGTGCAGTAAACTTCTTTATTTTTATGTGAACAAAAAAATTTAAAAAAAAAAAAAACGGTAAAATAATGGCATACCCGGATAAGATCAGGACAGTCGAGATTCTCCTCTGGCTCCCAAGTATTTTCAGAAGCGGGGAATCCTTTCCAACTCAGAAAATATTCTGTGACACCATTGCGAACACGTTTATTGAGAATTTTTTCAACCACATATTCTTGGCCCTTGAAAAAAAAAAGTCACTAATCTTCCTTTTTTTGCTGGAAAGGTATAGATCTCTTCAAAAAAGCATTAATTTCTTTCTTCTTTTTTTTTTTTTTTTTGAATTATTAAGAATTCCTGTATAATCGTTGTACGATTCAACGTTATTGATGTTACTGGGATGTTGTTGTACATTTTTTTGCTCCTGACATAATTACATGTCTTCAAGTTCTGAATTTCAAAAAAAAAAGCATTTCAGTTAGTGCGGCGCGTATGTTAATTTTGATAACAATTCGATAATATGATGAGCTCACGCCTTAACATACATGATAATAATTATAAAGAGTGATTTTTAGAGTAGCAGTAGAGGGGAGAAGTCAGAAAACGAAGTTCAAGTAAAAAATAATTGGCCAACGCATGGGCTGCCCGTGCGTTTTTTGCACTGCTCCCCG